GGAGATAAGATTCGTTAAAGCTTTCGTTAGTGTTTAATTAATATATGCTAAGGGATAGTAGTGGCTCGATGATTTTCGTTAATTTCCGCAAGGCTGGGGGAAATGAGGGGGGGGGGATTGTTATGGGGGGGATCATAAGTTGTCATTCAATGTCTTAATAGGAATGTGTTTCGTATTTTTTGTAAAGAGTTAGAAATGGGAAGTTGTAATGATTTTTTATTTATTACCTAAAACTAAAAAATCTAACCTCACTTTTAAATAAAACACGAAGTGTATTAATTAAACTTATGCGAAAATTTAAATTACGGCCCGACGTTTTGGATATTTTGCAGCAGCCGTGACCACGATTTAGTTAGTTTAACTAATATATTTCACGTTTTAAACTGTTAAAGATACGATCATTTTGCTTAAATGTGTACTACTCGCGTAAACTACAGACGGTATATAAACTTTTTTTTAATGTATTAACTTTAGCAAGGTTTTATTATTATTTGCGTAAGTTAACAAAAATAGTAACGTTTCGATTATCTTTTGGAAAACATAATAAAAACGATGCAGGGAATTTAAGTTTAAATTGGAAACGATATCACAAGTTAGAACTTTGCAATTTCTTGAGTTGGATTAGATATATTAATTCCGCAGAGTCGTGGTTTGCTAGATAGAAGTGAAAATTCTTTTTTGCCGAAGTAAAACTTTACTCTAATAAGCTTATCTAGTGCTTAGTTAACGAAAACGTAGAACTTTTATCCTCTATAATTTCACTTAAAGGGATAGAGGGACTCTTTCCCAGTGGACTAACTGTCTGCACAACTTTAGTTATTTTGTGGATGGGGAATACGTTAGCTAAAAACATTGTACAACTTTCTAAATAAGTATTAACTATAAAACTCGTGATAGATTATGATATTAATAGACATTAAGTTCCAGACATAGCTGCGTCTAAGGAGATATTAGAATTAATTATTTAATTTATCCATGGCTCATTTTTCTATGCCAAAGAGGAACACCATCGGACACCATAAGACCATAGACAACATTATCATGCAGTGGGTCGATTCTGGCTTATGATAGAAAGAGATAATTTTATTACATAGATATTTATTGATTTTGACGAGTGCGTTGGTCTAATGATAGCAGTGTATAGCTAATAATCAACGGGTCTGTCGGGTCGGGTGGTTGAAGATGAAGAACAGATGAAAAAGTTAAAGTTTAATCTCGTTTAATAGGTCGACAGCATAATTGTTGAGATCTTATATGACTAAGGTGTTTCACCTACCATCAAATGCTTGTCTATTATCTTCTACTATATATAGAAATAGATATAATTTGGCGGGAAAAAGACAAACGTTTCTTTTTTATTCCCAGACAAAGCTGTCAACGGAGGCCAAAGCCCATTAAACCAGATAAATCTGTATAAGACGTATAAAACGAAACAAGAATCCTTGAATAATTTAAGATTTGAGTGAACGATCGTAATTTATTGCTCTGCATGCGGGAAGTTCAGCTCAGATTTTATCTTGTCGCATTGCGTATTGTGATTGTGGCGTTATTAAATATACGACCTCCATGAAATGTATGGACTCCTATTAAGTATTGTCTATTTACGCGAGAAGTACACATATTTTATTTATTTTAACTACGGCGTTTTAAAGCATCCGAAACGTCAGATTGCCTAAATTACAAAGTGTACAAAAGCAGTTCTATCATGATTTAATTTTAATAGGCTTTATTGTGCAAGTTTGCAAATATATACATAGTCCGTGGTGACATGATATAATAAAACACAAGTACACTGTGAAAATCGTTTAATTCGTAGTCCAGTAATAAAAAAAAACATTTCTTTTTAATTACCATCAATCCAATTCGATTTTTACATTTTTACAAAAACAACATTCGTCTACACGCAAATAAAGTCTTATTCTAAATAATTTAAAGTAACTTAAAGAAACAGTTCAAACAACCATTAATATTTTAATTTAACACTTAATGTCGTGGCTTTATCGTTCCAAAACATTGATATAGATTTAACTTTGTGAGTTTTCGACGTGTTCGGCCGTCGTAATTGAGAAATCTCGACGTTTTGCCATCACAACTGGATGACGTCATTAGGAGACGCGTTCTCGACATCGGCCTTCGCTTAGTCGAGGAAACGAACACGGAATAGTTATCCAGCTTAGCAATTTTGCTATTCAGTTCCAGTATTTCAATAAATAATATTTCAAATACAGTCTTCCCGTACTAATAAAAAGCACGCACTAGATAAGAATAAAATATGCAATAAATGACTTCGTTGGACCAGCGACCACAGAGAAGATATATAATTTTTTTTTCATTGATGTTATAAAGGTTATATTATGGTAAAAAATAACCATAAAGCAGAATTGCAACATCATGTATATAATCTTGGCGCAGGGTTACCATAAATTACAAAGAAGGGTGAATCTACCGCGATTGCGTACACACAAAGACACTTTATATCTATAAAAACTATGACGTCATTAGAGCGAATCGTTATCGATGTCTTGGCTTTAATATCTGGTCCAGGAGAGGCGTGATCAATCCTTATATAAACATAATATTTGGTAATACTATTGCTGTGGTGGTTTAAGGTAATCTTTTAAGAAACATTTTGAATACATATTTAAACTGAAATATTTCAGATTTTTAAATTAAATCCTATATTTTCTTTTATGAAATATTGGATGTGACTTTTACAAGTTAATAAAAACCTATTCCATATTTAGTTTTTTATTGATTGATAATTTGATTTATTTAGCTTGCAAATAAGATCAATACCTTGAATATCGTATAATCTCTCTTTAATTTAAATTCTGCATCTGTCTGCACATAGTTTCAACGTCCTGTATTGAAACCATAGATAACAATATAAGCTAGACTCCTATTGAATTAGTTTGAGAAGCATCTTAGAATGGACCTTACATTGATTTGTATTCTGCATCGTTATATTGTAACTGTAACAAGATGACGTTGTAGGTGAAAAGCACTGGCAATACACTGAAAACGTGTACTTCACGTACGTATCCGTCATACTTGGAAATATAAATCTTTCCTATGCAGTTGTAAGGTCTAGGTTATGGATTAGGATATTTTAAAGACCTAGAACAGACTAGACAGTTAAATTTCGTTGCCATAGTAACCAGTGTCTTGGTTAGTAATTAATTTTTCAAAATGGCGACCACCGCCGCCATCTTAGTCACTTTTAATACCAAAAAAAAGTTGATTTGATGATTACTGTTAATTTATCGATGTTAAAAATTACTTTTTTGATGATTGCTCATTTTATTAGAGTGTTTGAGTAGTTCGCAAAAGAAAAAGTGCTTACCATGACAGGATTTCAACGCAGTTTGCCTAATATAGGACGATAAGTCTGCCTACTGCTTAAAAGTATATAATAATATAAATCATAATCTGTTCCATCATTTATGTACCAATGTTTTTAACTTCTAATCGATATTCGATAGATACAAAATTATAATAAAAATATACAAACGTCATTCACATATTGTAATTTTAAAGTTAAATGTATTCGATCTTAGCTTTTTTTACAGAAATTAATAAAAAAATGTTAAACGTCGGGCCGAAGTTAAAAATAATTTTCAAAAAATGTTATTTCACATAGATTGTCTTTAGGCTTATTAGTTCACATTTTACCGAAAACAAAACCTTACAGTTCTGACTTGTGACATTATCATCCTATAGTAAACTACTTACATATTTTATTCTTAACACTGCCGGCAGGGAAATTTTGAACATAGAAAAATCTTAAATTTAACATCATTGGGAGATACAAACTCAAACTCAGTCTAACAATAAATCTACTTATTATACTTAGTTTTACAATTATTCTGTTCCCTAACTATAAGACACGAAAAAGGCACTGCGTTTTTATATTTCTTTAGATATATAATTGTAGCACCTAGAAATAAGTTCACGAATACATACTAACTATTTTATGTATATAAATATCATACTAACAATACGTTCCTAATCTTTGTGTTCTACATCATGCATTGCTTGATCTTGTTTAACCTTTCTTTTATGTATAATTTATTTTTATTATTATATATATTATTTCTTATAAATTGTTACGCGATGTCTAAATTATATTTGCGCCGTTAGCAAATAACAATTAAAATATCTTCACAAGTAATACTTGGAAAGTTATTAAAATTGATTAATTTTTCGCTTTCCTTCTAAATGATCAACGGGTCGGGGCTTCGAACCGGGTTCGACGTGTATCTAATTTTTCAATTTATAATTTTTCTGCAACATCTTGGACTTTGTTTGGAAATCTGCATATTAAAACGGATGGAAGTAATATTGAAATTCCGTTCGAGTGAATCACCGTCCACAGATAAAAACGCCGCGAAGTTTAATTGCGCGTCGGTTGCATGTATGGATTTCAGATTATCCAAAGCCAAAATAAGTCGACAGTCAACTTGTTTAGATGATTTAGACTGGGGTATTCAACCTAACTCAAGTAAACTCTTACAAAATATCTAATCGAAGCGATATGAAGATTTTTCTGTAGTCTACGCGAGTAGTACACATTAAAAAAAATACTTTAACGGTTTAAAACGCAGTCTTCCCATGACCACGGTTGCTGCGAAGCGTCCAAAACGTCAGGCCGTAGTTAACATAATTTTCAATTAAGCTTAACTTATATACATCCCGTTTTAAACAGTCAAAGTGTATTATTTAAAAGAAATTAAGATTTTCTTATATAAATTTATAAGATTGCGTAAACAGTCGAAATTATATAGTCGAGAGTTGACTCGAAGTAAATAGAATTTGAAACTAGAATCTAACGAGAAAGTTGCAACATAACAGAACTTTTCCGTGTCTTCCAGCTCGAGAACAACACAATAGGAAAGTTTCAATTAATATCACAGTTGTATTTAAAAGTAGGACAATAAGTTCTACACGATCTAGAAACAGTAAGTCCTCGCGACATCCGAACACTGCCCAATATCTTGCTGTCACCCGAAATAGTACTGGGCGTTCGAATAGCGATATAAACTCCTCGTGTTAGGGTCCATTTCGGTTTGCACTTGCACTCTAGGGAGAGTTTTGACCGCAAGCCCACGGCCTAATGTGCCGTGAGGCATCGTCCTTAGCGGCATTTCGATGGGATATTCTGCGACCTGACCGTACATGTTACTGCTCATGTGAGGGTATGTATTGGGGACCGGTCGGCCCACGTACCGATTGATTTTGGGGCTCAGAGCTACGTTCGTGATGTCTTGCTTCATCGCGTCCGTCATATCGATTGGTCCGGAGAGACTTGTGATGTTTATGTCGTTGTCCACTTCTGATATGCTGTCGTTGAAGCCGTTAGGGATGTCTGTTGTGGCGGAGACGTCTGGTCCTTTAGGCTGATCCGGGTTCTGTCTGTGGATTACGCATCGGATAACAACTATGATCGCACATAGCAGAACCGCTGCGGACACCCCGGCGATTATGTAGATGTACATGATGTCGAAATCGTCTGGTGACAAGAGAAATTGAGTTGTTATATATGTAAAAAAAAGGATTTTTATAGTACTAATATATATAAACTAAGATCCTTTTGCACCTAATTGCAAAATGAAATATAAGTATTTTCTGTAGTTAACCAAGTCGTACATATTAGTTTAAAACTTTTAACGGGTTGAAACGCGAAATTTATTAATTTACTTATTTTAACTTCGGCCCGACATTTAGGATTTTTTGCAGAGGCCTTGGTGTGTCCTCCCAGACAGCTACTGCAAAGCCTCACAATACATTTCGGGTTTTAAACCAATAAACGTGTTTTACTTTAAACACGTTTATGGTTGCTTCCTAGTCGTTCTTTTTTTTTCGTAATAGGTTTTTACGTCTTATTGTGTAGTTAATTGTATTTATTTTTTTATTTTTTCTACTCGTAAAGTATATTTATTTAATTAGAAACACGAAAATAGTTGCAACATTGTTATAAAAGTGACATCTAAAGTTAGAATCTATCGAACTAAGCCCAATTGTTTCAGTGACTGTAAAAAAAGAAATATCCATCTATTATTTCTTACCTCGCACTTATAAAAAAATATAAGACCTTATCACTTGTTAGCAGAAAGGTCATGAAAAAAGGATAGTACAAACAATCCATCATAAAAAATCAGTATAAAAACGAGTAAAAATCGTGCAAAGACACTAAGCTTAAAGACTAACAAGGATACTAATTAAAAAGCACTTCACATTTTGTATTCGCAAACAATGGAATAGATAAGCGAGATAGCTTTTCAAAATTCAACGCTCAGCGCTTTTGTGCTTATTTTGAATTCTATTAATTTTATGCTATGAATCTTTCCCTCGGCTACTCGGGCTGGAAAACACTGCTTAAAGCGCTCTTTAAAATTAAAGGGTTGCAAAAGCTTGGAAACTTCAATACCTGTTGAGGGAAATGGTTACAGAAGTGATGATAACATAACTAATACTAACTCAAAAAATAAAGTAATAAATAAGTCAGTGACTGTGAACAATTGATATACAGCGTGTATATCAATTGTACACAGTCACTATATCATTATAAACAGTATCAGTATAAATAAGTCGCAACGATAAATAGCTGTGTTAGCGACTTCGTCCGCGTGGAATTATTTTGGGCATTCAAATTTCTTTGTAAATATTTTTGTAGATCTTTATAAATTTAAGCTATTACCCACAGTCGCCGCGACTTGTCGTTCGAGTCCCGTCGATGCGACTTAATAAGAATATTTCAAATACTGTCTATAGTTTACGCGAGTAGTACACATTTAAATAAAACACAAACGGTTTAAAACGCGATATATTAGTTAAACTTATTTGAAAATGATTTTTAACTTCGGCCCGACGTTTCGGATGTTATGCAGCAGCCGTGGTCACGGGGAGGCTAAAGATGGAGGATGTCTCTGACGTCAAAGTAAAAAATTGCTACGCTAGCGCCATCTGTTCCGTCGAAGTTGGTATTTGGCGAAACTGGGCGGAAAAAATTAAAAATCATTTTCAAATAAGTTTAACTAAAATATCGCGTTTTAAACCGTTAGTGTTTTATTTAAAATAATATTTCATTTCGCCACAGTAGTTCCTGAGATTACAGCGTTCAAACAAACAAACTCTTCAGTTATATATTAGTATAGATGAACTGTGTCTTATAAATATTAGTACAAATGTTGTTTTATTTATACTGCCTTGTCAGTCTAGTGATTTTATATAAAAGTTTTATTTTTTATATACACGTTACATATACATAAGTTATATATACATGTTTTTATGATAGAGGAGGTCAGATAAGCACAAAGACATTCAGTATATAGGTATGCTGTCGATTTATTTTAGCTTTGGAAATTGGGAAACCCACTGACGACACGCGATTAAACTTGACGACTTTTTCACCTGTCAACCCGGACGGAACTTCGATATTGCTACCATCCATTTAATATCCAGATTTCCAGAAAGTCTAAGTTATAAATTGATTAGAAAAATGTTTACACCCGGTGGGGGCCAAACCCACGACACGACATTAATTTTTAGCTATACATTGCTACCATTACACACCCGACAAAACATTACATATTATACAAATTTATACTGTCTTGTTGGTCCAGCGGTTAGTCAATTTGCTTGTCATACAAGGTTTGTTGGTTCGGTACATTTTCTAAGAACACTTCTAATAGGAGTATCAGCCGGCAACCCCGTGAATTTAAGAGCACTATAAGCTCTCCGTTATCACAATAACCAAGTGGCGGTGGCCGTGAGAAGCCCACCCCTCTCATCGAACGGCGTGGTGGGTCTAAATTCAAAGGGACCTTACGGAGCTTTCCGAATCGTTCGGACCGACCGGGTATCCGTTTCAGATCCGCAGGTAGAAATAAAAAAATCAGTATAAAACATGACGGTAGTTAACAACTTCTTGGTAACTACCGTCATGTTACCATTATGTTATTTCGTTAAAAACGTGTCGAGAATACAGCTAACAGTCAATAAAAACCCGAATTATCGCGACCCTTTACCTTCATTTAGATATAAATAAACAAAATTCGTATAAATCGAGTTTAACTCCTTTGAAACGGGCACGTCTGCGGTTACATTTGGGATCTGATACACGCTTTTATTCGGAAATCTCGCAGCACGTAAACGTAATATCCGTATTGATTACGAACTTCGCGTTAGAATCGACCCCCGGTGACTAATAACTTATGAGTGTGCGTCGTTTTCGCTTTACAAGTGGCTGCGGTCTGAATATCCGAATGATTGTTAATATCTGTAATTTTGCTGTAGGGCAATTATTATTTGCTATGTTGCGTTGCTTTCGTTTGTTGTACGGGAGTTTTTAGGGAGTGAGAGCCTATTTGTACATAATAATATCTATACTAATATAAGCTGCAGAGTTTGTTTGTTTGAGCGCGCTAATCTCAGTAACTACGGATTTGAATTGAAAAAATTTTTTAGTGTTGGTTAGAGCATATATTATTTAGAGAGAAAGGGTTTGCAAATACAAATTTGGTTGGTCAAAATAACTATTCTCGCGGACGAAGTTACTGACACAGCTAGTAATATTATGAAGATGTAGAGTTTGTTTCTTTGAACGCACTGATCTCAGAAAGTACTGATTAGAATTAAAAAGTAACCCAAAAAATATGTATGATAGAATCATTCCTATTTAAATGCAAAAAAAAAATCCGCGGCAATATATATCTATCTTCTAAGATTAACGCGCGCGAACGAAGTCGCGGTCATAGCCAGTCCATTATAATTATCTAAGAAATAAATAAATTTACGATAAACTTAAACTATGCAATAATGCAAAAGCTTAAAACAAAGAGACGATAAGACAAATTGACTGTATTTTGTATAATCGGACATTTTTCAAACAAAACAGTTTAAAAAATAATAATTATATAAATACTTCTGACAGTTACACATGCAATTACAATTAAAAAATAAACACATGGCAGGTACTAAATAAAAATTCATTTTATACCGTTTTTTGACAGATGCTGTCCTGGCGGTGAAGGTGACGGTTCTTCCCTGGTGCTATTTGTGGAGTGCGGTCTCTGTGGTGGTACTGCGGCCACGGCGGGCGCTGGTGGCACTGCTGATTCACCCCACCATCTATCTCCCGGGTCATCTGATCGTATAACAGTTATTTAAATAAGTAATAACTCTAGGATTTAAATAAATTCAGTAATTTAACAAATACGAAACGCTTAGTGTCGTTGTAAGATATTAAATTACATTAAAAAATGTCATATTTTAAATCCCGAGTATGATGTTAGATTGTACTAATTGTACGGTGTAGTCGTCAGTTTGAGTTCCATCCGTATAATACACTTTTTCTTTTCAATTTAAAATGAAAAATAAGAGCTCTTCTTTTTTTTACATAATTTCCCCTCAAATATAAAAATGATTCAAATAACAAATTATTTTTTTAAATTTCAATTTTTGTGGTAATATTAAAATCTGTTATAAATGAATTAAGGCAGTAGTCAATTTTAAAAAATGACGTCAAATTTTCGGTTAGTATAGACAAAAATATACTAATATTATAAAGCTAAAGAGTTTGTTTGTTTAAACGCGCTTATCTCAGGAACTACTGGCTCAATTTGGAAAGTTATTTATGGGATAAATGTACCAATTTTTAAGAAAGACTATAAAACATCATGCTACAACCACTAGGAAAGATATATAGAATATTAAAGAATTCTTCTTTAAACGATCTAAAAAAATGTCTACGACAATTTATGTTTCTTTTTTACGATTAACTCGCAAATATTTATGCGTTATTACCAATTATTTGTTAGAGTTGTAGCAACATAATTTGAATGTTGCATACAAAACAATGTTAGAATCATCTAGAGTAGAGTACACAGAAGCTTAAAAAAAATCCAGGTGAAATCCGACTCTCATTTTTGAGATTTCTTTGAACCATTTCCAGGCAGAGCCCTTGAAGAATATCAAAGTACGGGATTTTTCTAAGAGCGTTCCGATTTGATCCCATAATCCGTTTGCGCGTTGACATAATTCATAAGGAGTGAAAGCAAACAAACATATAAGACTCAAATTATGGCGGGATTATATAAGAACTTCGTAGCTTAACAATGGCTTATGGAAAAGGTTTGTTTTTGTTTACTTATTGCTCGCTCTTCGGCTCGTGTAGTGAGACTTTTTATAAGACGAGGAAGTTTAGATATATTTTATAAGAGATATATTTTACAATCTCCCTTGCAATTCGCTCTAAAAACCTTAACTGTCAAATGTAACAATAATCTGGACCTCTTCTCTAGCAACAATGACGGGACGCGGACGAAGTCGGGGGCACTGCCAGTCCATTATAACTTTCTAAGAAGGAAAATTACGATTAACTTTAACGATACTACATACTGTCTATAGTTTACGCGAGTAGAACACATTTAAATAAAACACTTTACCGTTTTAAAACGCGATATATGTATATTAGTAAGACTTATTAAAAATTATTTCAACTACGGCCCGACGTTTTGGATGCTTTGCAGCAGCCGTGGTCACGGCGTAGTCTCCTCGTGACTATGGTTTTATTTAATTTATATTAAATACTGTCTATAGTTTACGCGAGTAGTACACATTTAAATAAAACACTTTAACGGTTTAAAACGCGATATATTAGTTAAACTTATTTGAAAATGATTTTTAACTTCGGCCCGACGTTTCGGATGCTTTGCAGCAGCCGTGGTCACGGGGAGACACGGAGTTTAAAATCATTTTCAAATAAGTTTAACTAATATATCGCGTTTTAAACCGTTAAAGTGTTTTATTTTAATTTGTATTAGTTATGTAATAAGCAATGCTGTGTTTGTCTGTTAAATAATAATTGAGTTAAATACTTAGGTGCTAATTTGTAAGTACATATATAATTAAATTATTTGAGTGTTTAGTTAAACCTTTGAGTAAGCAGTGAAAGCATTGCCCCTTGCTTTAGTCTGAATCCCGAGGAAACATGATAATCTATCGTTCCGAAAATAAAGTCGATTTGTAAACATAGGCAACGTTAAATTCTACATGTGACCTATATTACGCGCAGTGCTGTTCACTTAAATAATTATCTATAGCCGATGAGGATGAAATGAATTCATGAGTTGTAAACACTATTAACGGTTTAAAACGTGGCACGTTGTATAAGTTCCACAATCAATAACTAAACTATTTTCATCGTAGTTTCTAATTAAAACTTCTACTGACATAATATTTTCAAGTGAATATAATCTGGACCAATTCAAAGCAAATATTAATAGGAACTTTTAAATACGCGTGTTAAAACTTTTACTTAACATTAGATGAGGCACAGACAAACATTTATTCTTTCACAATAAAAAAAAACATGTTTTGGTGTCCTTGATGTCAAACTTCTAGCGTCATCTGTTTTAATTTCCGCTAATATAAACTTCGAGGAACAGAGCTGGTGAATAGCTTTCGAAACGTAGCGTCTTATTCATATATTAACTAAGATATTACACGTTTTAAACCGTTAAAAGTATTTTAATGAAATATCAGTACGATTTTTTTACAAGGCGTCATTAGTGTAGCAAGTAATGGCAATCAATTAATTTTCTGAAAAACTTTGTAATTTATCTAGATCATGTCTTACTGAATTTTCATTGGGTGATAGGTCTATCGAAATTACATCCAGGTCACCACCGTGCATGGATTAGCCGTAAAGAAGTATCAGCGTTTTGACTTAAGCTATTATAGGGCTGGGCTATGCTTATGCTTAAGATATTTTACCTCCCATAAAAAGAACTTCATGCTTTAAAAATTTAGAATTCATTGAAAAACAATTTTCGACTCGGGCAGGACTTGAACCGGCATCGTCAGCGTTCAGTGCTGTTGCTCTACCAATTGAGCTGGGCTGAGTCATTATAACGATAAAATTGGCAACAGCACGGAACGCTGACGATGTCGGTTCAAGTCCTGCCCGAGTCGAAGTTTTTTTCAATTAATTTTCGATTTTTAAATTATATAGTGCCATCATGTTCAATTACACGTGAAAAATTTTAAAGTTTTCAAACTTCATGCTTGTGTCTCTTCTTGTAATAAAAAAGCACTTTTGTGTACACAGCTTATGTTTATCGCTTCAATACACTCGGGCATTGAATCGTGCATCAGGGTCGTCTTTCAGCAATGTCTGTCGGGGTTACAGAATTTTCTCGAAATCTCTTACGTCAATAGTTTATCGTAGATTGGCCGTATGGATAAGAGCGCGGAAACCTCACCCGAGAGTGTTGTTATATAAATCGAGTTCCTTTTTATAACTATTTCACTGTTATACGTGAGAGGGAAATTCTAGACCGTATAACTTGACCCTTATATTATATATCCTTGTGTGTGTAGCAGAGGTCAGTCAGGCTTTGTAGTCCACAGTAGTAGATGGAGACGACAAACATTAGTTATTATTGAATAGTTCTGGAATATGGAATTTGAATTTATATAGGATAATTCAAATACCATTTCATAATTGACGATTAATTTGTTTTTTATTAGTTCTTAAAACACTTTATAATAAAGGATGATATAGACGACTATTAGGATCACTCGATGGTGAAAGCTGTTGACCTATTTTGTGTTTGGGTTTTCTGAAATCCACAGACTGGCAAGCTTAAGCTTTACAGCTTTTTAAATCTGTGGTCATACAGTTGAAAGACCGCGAAAAATGGTTCGTGACCAGCACGGAATATCGATATTCGTCTTATTGAACATTCAGTACACGAAAACAACATGTAGAAATATTGTAAATTCAATCAACAACATGTCGGTCCCGATTTATATATTAAACTAATAAATATAAATTAACTTTACGTAAATCGTCAATCTTTTAAATTCGGGATGTAGGTTAGGTCAACGAGAAAAGAAAACGGTCCCACTCACGCACAATCGCTGCAAAGCGTTTGAAACGGAATATTAATAATTACCAAAAAATACCAGAATCTAAATAGTTACAAATGCTTTTGAAAATTAAAACGCAATATCTAATATTAACATAAAATAAAATTCTTAAAAAAGCATTGAGTCTAAAAGGTTATTGAATCAGCGGAGGAAATTACAAGGATTTTTCTTTAACCCTTGCTTATAAGGCGCAATTTTAGCCTTTGTCCTTACCACAGAGTAAGAAGCTTGATATAGGCTTTGTCCTTTCAATAGAGACCTTCAAAGCCACATTCCAGACCTCAGCCATCTAAATTTGTTCATGGAATTTAGGTACGTTGGCTTTATTACGATGTTATTGGTATAACACAAACCAAAGAGAGACAAACGCTTTTTGTGGGTGAGGATGACAAACAAGATGGCAGGTGGAACACCCCGGCCATATAACCACAAGATGCGCTGTCAGCCTATTTACACTTTAGACGTCGGAAATCCACAGACTGAAGCCAAAACGAAATTTGATTTGATGATTTTCGTGAGAATAGAAGCCACGATAAAAATTATTGTAATATTATTTAGCAGCTATATATCTACTGTGAAACTATATCTAGACATTTATATTAAAAAGCAATATATAACTCATCTGTTAAGATTTTTAAACTATTAAATGTTTTATTCGTATAAGTACTACTGGCGACTCTAGACAATACTATATGATATTTTTTTTTATAAAAATCAATGTTTTTTAAAGAAAATTGTTAGTATTCGATATTTTGTTTGTTATTTTTTTAGTGTGGATTTTTACTCTCTATAATTCTTAGGCGTACTACTGTCGCATTTGTCTTTACTTCAATTATAGTCAGTCGTTTCTTACATATACACATAGGTATAAGGATTGAAAATTCGATGAGTATTTATCGACATTTGTAACTTGCTTCTTCGCTGTCTTAAACTTACTCTAGCAAAGACATTGAGACAAAAGCTTCAACTAATGTACGTTTAGACGACAACGTCATTTGTCTTTAAATTACCAGTATCTATATTATCTCGCTTAGAGATTACAACTTAAAAGCACTCACCTAGTTCTTCGTGTTCAAGTGGATACACTACATGGGCTACCTCGTCTTCCTCTGGGGCACTCTCATATCGCTCCTTTAAGACTGTCCGCGGCACTGTGAACAAAAATAATCTTTACAACAACAGCTTAAAGTGTAAAATTGTTTAAAGCTTCTAGCTATTAAGCAGCGTTAATTTTAGATGTTGAGGGTGATTTTGGTATAAGAGTGTTCATGTTTTAAGTGCCTTTTATTTTTACAGTATTAAGCGATGTACGTGACTTATCCGCTATCCGTTACAATCTGTTCGTGGAAAATGGTTATATCTTCGATCAACGTTAAATAAGAACAATTACGAGAGGCAATTTCTCCGCGCGAAACAAATTTACGTGTAAGTCGAAATTCATTTTTTCATAAGCTCTTCGGATACTATATATATATATATATATATATATTTATAGTTTGTTTGTTTGTTTAAACGCGTATATCACAGAACCTACTGTTTCGAATATGAAATAACCTAACCTCACGATCTATGAGATGATCTATGATCTATGAGATGAAATAGTATGAGAATGCTGAGACAACAGAAAAATTTCATCACCTTTGTTGGCGCTATTGCGTGTACTGCGAAAACGATTCAAGATGCAAAAGTATTTCAACAGCACGAAACGCTGACGATGCCGATTCGAGTCCTGCCCGAGTCGAAAATTCATACAATTTATTTTCGATTTTCCATACATAAAAACTCATCATTATTAATTAGTTGTCTTGTTTTGTAGATGCAGTAAATATTTAATTTAGACACTAAAGATTTAAAACGCGATATATACTTGGTTAGGTGGAGTCTCCTCCCCATGATCACGGCTTGCACACTTGACATGCTTTGCAGCATCCGAAACGTTGGGCCGTAGTTAAAATAATTACAATAAGTTTAAGTAATATAAATCGCGTTTTGAACCGTTAGGATGTTTTATTTAAATGTGTAGTACTCGCGTAAACTACAGACGGTATTTCGAGGCAATATGTATAGATTGTATTGTTCTGTATTGAAAAAAGTTTAACTTTCAAGTGACAGGAATATTCGGGTAGAGTAAAATTCGAGTTGAAATCCTATTCTGGCCAGAGTCAATGGGTGTGCAAAACCAGAGCCAGAACAATAGTCACTTAATTCACCTCTGAATACTGGCTAACCAATACGATGTAATTTGGGCGAAATGGTACCTCGTTCCTAGATATGGCTCTATTATAATCTCTATGCTTTGATTATGCACCCGGTATAAGGCTGTAATCGAAATCTGAATCTGGGACTAGTCAGATAAACTTGTCGGCAATCAGATAAAGGACCTAAGCCGTGATTTGATTAGCACTAGCTCAGATAAAACAAATTAAAAATATGTTTATTCGTGTACCATATACAACATAACGAAGTCTATCATTAAATACTTTACGCGAGTAGGACACATTTAAATGAAACACTTTAACGGTTTAAAACACGATATATATTAGTTAAACTTGTTTGAAAAAATATTAACTACAGCCCGACGTTTCATATAATATGCAAAGTTACTAAAAATGGCCGCTTGTTCGCGTATCTCCGTATGTTTACCTACTGGCTTGCAACTCTATACGTCTGTTGGGCTACAAGCTCAATTAGGGAGGTCAGAGTCTCAAATAACCAGTCACTTAGCGGGAAGAATGATGTATTGTGTCGGTATTGGGTAAAGGTTTACAAAACATACGCTTCTTCTATATAAAGGAAAAAATGTAATATAATTTTTGAATAACCTCAAACAATATAAATACGTACATAGCATGCAAACATATAAATACTTTTAACGGTTTAAAACGCGAAATAAGATCGTTAACGTATTTAACTAACACTCTACGTTTCGTAATAAGTTAGTTGTATATTATTTAATTGTGTACGGTTGTAATATTATGTACTAAGGTAAACTACATGTCTAAATACTCTTGATTCGAGAAAAAATTAAGCTTATGTACATAAGAAGAAGAAGAAGAGAAAGAATTGGACTGTTAAATACGCATATAATTGTTTTTTTTTAATTAGCAGATCTGGCAAACGTTGTTTTGTAGTGCAAGACCAACATAAATTTTAACCAAATTGAATACGATCTTAGCAAGTCATTTAAAGGGGAATTGTTCGTTCATAATTTCTTTCTTAAACTGTTCTCGCTACGCATGCCACGGAAGTCCTCAAAAATAAATAAAAAATCCCCCGTCTTTACACATTGCACAGTGTGTCTTCGCTTCTATTCGTCGCAGTGTGATGTTAAATATCCGAAAGCTTTCCTTGTAATTTTCCGGATAAATAGCTCTAAATTCTAACAAGTAGTTTCTGAGATTGTAAGACAAACATACAAACAACCTCTTGAGCTTTATAATAACTTTTGTGGTCTATATTACGCATTTATCTTGTAGAGTAATGTTTGGTACATCCTAGCTCTACATCAATTTAGACATAAATAAGTAGTCCTTCAATAAGATGTCCTAATAACAAATGACGGTCCGAAATATAATCTAGGCACGAGCCCACAGATAGTAAAAACTAGAACACGATCCTAGTGTCGATGGAAATATTTTGATGTCACGTATTCAAGACGCCAGACAGGCTGGACCTCTATATGGATCAGAATTGGATAATAGGAAGATGTGTGTTTATTAATATTATATAGTGCTATCATATAGTGCATCGGGTAAGTAAATTTTTTTTTATTATATGGACAAAACGTTAAAAGTTCTATATTAAAATTTTATATCTATAATTTAAAATATAGAAATTAAAGATACACATTAATTCAACATTATCGCATAACAAAGTGACGTGTGGTTGTCTTTTGTTTCCTCATTACACAGAAATATAAACAATTAATTGTCAAAGTTAATTAATAAATTTCCGCTAACTTTTTCGTATCCCGAAAAATATGTCATTTCAAGGGAACACAACTAAATACGCAAATGAATAAACGGGCGTCCACTGGACGAATAAAAAAATTACACTTCGAAATATATGATTTCAATAAACTGAATATTATTCTCACAAAGTCAATAAATAAGAGTAAACAAAATTTCGTGGAATTAAAAAATTCGGGCCATTAAAATAATTTTATTGAGAAACACTTCGCGCCTCAAAAAAATTGGTTTTACTACCAAAGTTCGGAGTTTGTTCGTTAATGATGTCGTAAACTACAAAATATGGAATAACTGGGAATTATCATAAAAGTTTTATTTAGTTTTCTCGTTATTTTTTGGCTGTTTAAGTACTTAAGTTGACAGTGAAGAGATAAATAAAATATTTCCTCATAAAAGTTATCTCAGCATATTTTTGTCCAACTTGTAAAATGCTTTGCAGCATCCGTGGTCACGGGGGGAAAAGAAAGAAAGCCGGCGCAGTTAATAAATTGTAAAAAATTTGAAAACTTTAATATTTTTTACATGTTATTGCACATTAAGGCATATTTTTATTATAATATTATTTTATAGCATAGCTAGCATAATTGTAAATCTATGTCAACGTCGTTATACGGAACAGTCTTTGGTACCCGAAACTCGGGAGTATACGCTTAAACTGTTATTCACTACACACTATATAATTTAAAAATCGAAAATATATTTAAAAAAATTTCGATTTTCAAATTGTAAAAAGTTATCAAATATATTTCGCGTTTTAAACTGTTAAAAGTTGTCAAATATATTTCTCGTTTTAAACTTTTAAAAGTTATCAAATATATTTCGCGTTTTAAACTGTTAAAAGTAAGAAAGGACTAGCTAAGTGCATCTATAAGCAAACTTGTTCTTTTCACGCCTCCGCTACTAGCTAAAAGGTTGCGTGGGTTATCTCTCTTCACGTTATGCTCCAGCTAGACATAAGCGTGAATTATGCACCATCAGTTAGACAAAGTACCTTCCGGAAATAGAAGTTGCTGACACAATAAGAATTTTAATACATACGCAAAAAATACATACTCGTGTCCATGACACTTTTAACAGGCAAGCAATAAAATTAATTGAAGAAATATGAAATACCCCGGCCACATAATTTCTATCCACATGGTGCGTTGTCGAGCTATTTTGACTATGCCCTTGGAAAGATTAAACTAAGTTGTAGGTTACGTATACTGTCTATAGTTTATGCGAGTAGTACACATTTCAATAAAACATTTTAACTGCTTAAAACGCGACATATTAGTTGAACTTATTCGAAAATGATTTTTAACTTCGGCCCGACGTTTCGGAAGCTTTGCAGCAGCCGTGGTCACGGGGAGACTTAGGTTATGTATCCTAAATCTATTCATCTAAACTCTCACAAAGCTACCACAAGAATATTAGAAGTCTATTTCCCGAAGGAATAAAGAAAAGTCTACTTCAACTAATACTTCAAGTTCTATGCTATCTCGAAGTGAATCACAACAAAGATAACTTTAATATTCGATCTCGTATCATACTCAAAGAGAAACTTCAAAAATACTTAGACTATTCTACAAAGTATAAGACGGTTTAAAGTTTAAAAACAACGCTTTATCGAGGTACGTTAAGTGCTTCTGTATGAAGAGTGAACATGGAACTTTGATTTTTATATTGATATTGGGGCGTATCTGGGTCAAATTATTTATAGCGCGGTTTGCAGATCTACTTTGAATGCAAAAGCATACATTCGATTGAAAGTTTTGCAGACACTCTTAAGTGCAGGCTGCTCATATAGTGAACAAAAATTTTATGGTGAAATGTCGTTGCTACGAAAGAGCCAGTAACATTATAATTTATAGTTCGAATATATACACATAATTTCCAATGTATTAAACGAGTGACGAACTGTCTGTAGTTTACGCGAGTTATACATATTTAAATAAAACCATTTCAACCGTTTAAAACCGTGAATAAAACAAAATAAAAAAACTGTAGTTTACGCGACTTGACACTTTTAAATAGCCCCACGTGACCATGGCAACTGCAAAGGATTTAAAAGCCAGAGCGTAGTTTTTTTTTTATAAATTTAGCTTATCAAATCGTCAAAAGTGTTTTATTTAAATAAATAAATGTAAATGAGCAGCTCATAATGCTTTTTTGACAGAGGAGAGACATGTGTGTAGTTTACTTGAAGGAAGGTATAAAACCTTACTATATATTTTTTATTTATTTTTTATTTATTTACACTTTATTGCCAAAAAACCCAATTACATGTTATATACTAGCTATATAACATGTAATCACGAAAACAGCTATACATCTAATACTTCTTTAATCTAAATCTTAATACTTTTAAATCAAGTTACTGAAAATTTCGCGTATATGTAAGACTATCTATTTATTGTTTAAAAAAATATTTTTTTATTGTTTTCCTTAGGAACGTTTTTTTCTATTTTATGTATGTTTATAATTGTTCCAAAGTAATAATTTTCTAATGTCAAGCGTAGGGCTTCACTGAAAATCGGCATTGTACGTACTTTGAGGTATAACAAAAGTTGAGTGGTGTCCCTCCATATACATCTATTTTTATTTATTATGTCATTGTATTTTTGTGTATGTGTGGATTAAATGGTCTAATTAGATTTGATAACATGTAATCAAAATATGCTGTCGACGTCTTTTGCCTTTGGATATGGTTCGAAAATCCGACTGAACCAAAACGCACATATTATTATACACTTCACAGTTTTTGCATTTTCTCGATTTTATTCGATATTCCACATCCAATTAAATATCTAAATCGCAGAAATTTCCATGTTAATTAAACCCTTACACATATTTGTGAGGAACGAACCTTTGACAAATTCTAATAAAGGTTTTTCATTAAAGTAAGACAGATTTATAAGGTACCTATATTTAATTCAGTGTAAAATGATCTTAAAACTTAGGGATTCTTATCATTTTTATCCTAGTGTAATAAACCATTTATTAACAAATCATATTTTCTAAACAATTTCATAATAATAGTCATTCCATATTGTTTCCAAAGAAATTATTGAAAATAGCCTGTCCCAAAACTGTCTCTAAGCCGCAAAGTTCTCCCCATAGAAAAGGTTATCGGTTGTCTAAAAATATTTAAAGGTGAAAAGTAAAGGTCGACGCATAATTGGTTTGTTTTTCTCTCATCTAATGTCAAAGAAGACGTCTACGCTTGTATACATTTGCCCATTGTAAATCACAATTTTATCTGTTATAGTGAAAATTTTCATTGATCCGTAAGGTGTGTTTTCAGAAACTTTACATATTTCTTTGAAATTCGATTGATATTTTTAATAATATCATGTTAATATTAAATACTGTCTATAGTTTACACGTGCCTCCTCGTGGCCACGGCTGCTGTAAAGCATCCGAAACTTCGGACCAAAATTAAAAATAATTTTCAAATAAGTTTAACTAATATAACGCATTTTAAACCGTTAAAGTGTTTTATTTAAATCATGTTTATATGTTTAAATATGTTTTATCACGTTGAAAATAAGCTTTTTATTCTAGCCGTCGTAGTTTAGGGATGCAAAAGAATAAATCCGCCGTAGACCGACCACAAATGACTTTTTATAATAGGGGTAGACAGTGAGGTTTACCTGATGAGATGAAATACCCATCCATATAATATAACATCTACACAAGATGCACTGTTGGTCTGTTTTGGTACAGAATGAAATCAAAACGGGCGATGGTTCGTGACCTGGGAGTAATATCGATTTTCCTACTTTCCATTTAATATCCAGATTTTCAGACAAAGTCAAACCTTTTTAGAAAAATCTATGAAAACATCATGATTGGACACATGAAGGATCCGGTGGAGCTCGCAAGGTACGACATACTATTAGCTATAGATTGCTACCGATAGACCCACGAGGCCGTCAGACACGAAGTATGGAATGTCTTTAACGTTCCTTTATCAGTAGAGGCATTATCCTGTCATCACCATGACAGCTGTCCCCGGTCATTGGCTGCACGTTCCACATTAAGGACACGCCCTTACATCGAAGTGTAAACAACAATTTATCGGTTTGTGTACTGAGGATTCAAAGGCATTTCGACTTCCCCAACGAAGATATTAAACAGACACGGGTCAAGGAAAAAACGCAATAAAAATTCCAAACAATCTATTGTAGCGAAGGGCTGGGAGCTTTGGAGTGTTGTGAAAATTCACAAATCCATTGTAGGAGTGAGTATAGCCAAAGATTCTTCCAGAAGTAAACGTTACGATAGTTAAACTTATTTGAAACTTTAATAGATCGCGTTTTAAACCGTTGAAGTGGTTTATTTAAATGTGTACTACTCGTGTAAACTATAGACAGTAATTAGCCATAAACATCTCAACATCATGTGCTATCGACCTTTGAGCTCATTGTGCATAGATTTTGAATTAAGCTGAAGTATAATAGACAAACGTTTCCATTCTTGGAAAAGCCAGAATTGATACTCTTAAACTTTTACTTTTAAATTGAAAAATTTTCGACTCGGTCAGAATTTGAACCGGCATCGTCAGCGTTCTAACCAATAAACGCTGTAACCAATTGAGCTAGTGAATATAATAACATGTAAAAATATATTAAATGCTATCGCACATTGTGGCACTATATAAGTTAAAATCGATTATAAATTGAAAAAGATTACGACATGGGCAAAACTTGACCTGGCATCCGGCCTTCCGTAGTGTCGCTCTAACCAATTGAATTACCGTGTGTTTAATGTAAAAAGATAAAAAAGCTAATAAAATTGGTATGTCTATCTGTATGTACACCTTGATCTTTACTAGTATGAATACAGACTTTAGCGGTTTTTCTCCAACATATAAACGAATGTGGTATTGACTTACCACACGTGTACACCACTTTCAAGTAAGTCCTGCTCCCCGTTCGACAGGGCTTGCCGAACATTTTGCTGTCTGCAGACAGCACGCAGCGTCTCTTGCCGTGGCATTCTCTCATTGCAGTCTCCGTAGCGTAGGGCTCCATGCAAGCTTTGAAAATATGAGAAACTTGGTAAATAGATTTGAACGAGAATGAGATTTTTGTAGCTAAATAAACTATTAAAATTATGAGTTGGTGGTGGACTATTATTATATAGGTATTATTTAATATACAGATTTCCAGACGAAGTCCCACATGTTCAGAAAAAGTATAAATTAATAAGAAAAATATTTGACCCGGTGGGGGGTCGAACCCACGACCCGATGAGTAATAATCGCCAATACATTTCTATAACACTAATGAGCTCATCAAAACTGCTTACTAACAGACGTATAATTTTTTTTTTATCGTTATATGCGTATACGTAACAAACGTTAACTATGTTTCAAACTTGTATTAAAAATTTGCTGTTAAAATAACGTGGCATTAATTTCTTATCGAGTTTGAATTTCAAAATTAGGTATTCGCAATCAAAATAGTTGAGCTTCCGAGCATAAGCTGCGAAATCGATAGCTTATTGTGCAAAGTTTCGATGCAAACTGCGGATGATAATAGAGAATATAATGTTTCAAATATTTTCCAAGTTTTACCTTGATATGGCAGAGATTCAGAAGGGACTTCAAATATACACTTTTTAATAAAAAAATGTAACCTAATGCATAATTATACTGTTGGCCATATATCCGCCGCAAGAGGCGGAGTAGCCTAACTGCAATTTTATATTTATATGGTAAAAAAATCTTAATCTACAAGAGCACATTGGTAGAAAATTGTTGACACAATTCGTACACAAATAATAGTACAAATTAATTTTCGCCTAAGTCAATTTCGCATTTTTATTTTTTCTTAATATTTTAAAATCATGATTTTTTTATTAGGCCACTCTGCTTCTAGGAGCCCCATTTATATAAAAAAGAAATTATAGATAGAATATTATTTTTTTTATACATAAAAATAAAAAGTATTAAATCCCACAGCTGGGCAGAGACCTCTTTTATAAGTAGGTTACCCACCAGTGCGGGCTTTACTGACTGTTGCCTCTAAATTCGTGATCATAACAAAGCTTGATAGCTTAGCGCGCTCTACGAGGAGGGGGGGGGGAGCGTTGACGTCTAAACTGACTAATACTAAAAAAGTCAGGGTGATGACCTGTGACCCAAAGTTCACTTAATACTTTTATCCTATTTTAAATAAATGTTACCTTGTTAAAAGCATCTAAAAACTGTAACATATAATTGTATTTTTATTAAAATAATTTGGGATAGCGAAGCAGGTAAACCTTGCAACTTAAAAATCGATTATAAATAGAAAAAAATTACGACTTTGAGCTATGGACCCCAAAATTTTTAGGACTCGGTAGCCCAATCTGCTAGAACAACAGTACGGAACGCTATGGACGCCGGTTGAAGTCCAGCCCGAGTTGTAATTTTTTAAATTGTAATATTAGATTTTTTATTTATATAGTGCCATTTTGTGCAATAACATCTGAAAAATATAAAGTTTTCAAATAGTTAAACTTATTTTATTTTTCTCTTTCAAGTCGTGGCAATTTATTGACATTATTTATTTGTACTAATGATCTTAAAACGTGGACTTACATAATATGAAGAGACCACACACACACACAATAAACACACCCACATACATACACTACACATACATCATTCTGTTTTCAGGAAAATCAGGAAGGATTTACATTTTGACGACAATATATTGAAACAAAGAAGTAGGGGTTCATTAATAATGCAATTTTATTATACACCTTTTACGTTTAAGATTTCGCTTCACGAAATATATCTTGAAAATATATTATGCACGAAAAGTTTTCAGCCTCATTACATTGGATTACTTTATTTATCAAGCGCTTGGGATCTTCTAAGGGTAATAAAATAAGCTGTACTTTTGCGAGAAAACTGATTTGTTTTTTGAAGATTTGCGATGGCTCAGCGAAATGTTCTAATTAAATACTTGAGCTTCTGTGAAAATACTAGTACCGTTGTAAAGAAATAATATCTTTATAACAGAGTAAATAATGGTTCATCATCATTATTTATAATTATATTTACTAAGACAGCTTTAAATTAGCTTACAAGTTAACAAATTATTTATTCCTTCCTTTCAGAATCGGAAAGCCATCAAACTAAGAAGAAGAAATATTTGTTCTAATATTTTATATATCCTACGTGTTAAAATAAAAAAAAGTTTAACCACACAATGCGGCGGTCTCCGGCGTTTTGTTTTGTCTCTGTTTTAAACGGTTAAGCGGATACGCGAATAATGCACTCGACTCTATGTACGACGCCAAGAAAGCTGCTTGGATTTTTGACCGTCTTAATTGAGAAATGGTCCTCGACGTTAATATAAGTAATTATGAATGTTCGTTAATCTCATGTTAAATACTGTCTATAGTTTACGCGAGTAGTACACATTTAAATAAAACACTTTAACGGTTTAAAACGCGATATATTAGTATCGCGTTTTAGACCGTTAAAGTGTTTTATTTAAATCTCATGTTAACTACCTCTGTAGCTCTACTTAGTCTGGATTCGAAGTACCGTTAAACGATCAATTCTTTCTGAATAAATAAAATCGGTACTACAGACCCACACCCCAGACGGGAAAACGAGATAGCACTATAGGAAAAGTTAGTACAAGATAGTAGGAATAAGTCATTAAGTATTCTAAACAAGACATAATAAATAATGCGACACTCACTTTCTTCCTTCATCCCGCGAGGTTGCGGGCATTGTATCGAATCGTACTCCGTCCTCCCGTACTGGGCCGAGTATATCGCCACCCTCGAGTGTGGGTTACAGCTCAAATGAAGCACGTCGTTTTCACAGCCCACTTTACTCCGGAACTCGTCTGTTGGAAATGCAAGCTTAATAGCGCGGAATACGACTCAATTTAGAACGCTAATAACGGTCTAGAGTTCTACATTTGATTCGAAAATAGCGGTCGGGTTTAAACGTGTAAAGGGTTCGTTCTATTAGAATAACGTGTATTTATTGGGGTTTATCTATCGTTAGTAAAATTAAAATAATGGTACTGGAAAAAGGGAGGCATAGGAAATAGGTATATTTGACTAAAAATAAATATTGGATCACAGGCAGAACTCAAATGCCAAGAAAATAACATTATTTTCAAAAATCTAAATTTAAAAAAAGGTTACCTATGTTAAAAAAATAAAAGAATTTATTTCGGTATCTGTATTTTGTTTTAAGTTCCAAATAAGTTAAAGAGTTGAATCTACTCAAATAAGTGTACCTTTAATTCTAAAATAAAATATAATCTTTTTACTAGTTTTTTTTTGTATGTAGTTAGTGGGTAGTATTGTTTTATTTGATATTATTTAATTAGGTACAAGGTAATATATTTTCATATACCTTTATTACAATTAAACTAAACGTCCTTCAATTCTAAAATGAGGGGCAACATTCTGCAACTCACACAGTCAGCTTTTTACAAATTTATTTTGTATATAATTAGAAGTGAATATTATAATTGTTATATTATAAAATAAATATATCAGAAAAATATTATCTTCTCTTTATTTAAAAGTACTCAAATACCTTAAATTATAAAATGGGAGGGGGGGGGACTCTATATCTATCATCATATACAGTCAGTTTTTTGTTCATTTCTTTTGTATATAATTAAGATAAACGTACATGGACGGCACTTATAGGCGACTTCGACGAAGCGTCTAGACCCTGGACAGGGGTCCACTCCGAATGCTTTAGGGCTTGTGTGGAATTTACACTGGCGTTTCTTCTGGCACGCCTCCACCACTGTCTGTAACAAGGAATACTGCAAATATAAGTTAGTATGCCGATCCTTGGTAAGTAAAAGATATTAATAGGTATTAAATATAATCGGAACGTTGAGAATTTGAAATTGGGGGACGAAAGATACCATGGGTTTGAGTCCTGTTTGATTGAATTGAATAATATTTTCCACATGTTATTATTATGCCAATTATGGCACTATATAAATTAAAAATCGATTATAAAACGTTAGAGCGCGAGTCGTTGTGGATGCCGGTTCAAGTCCTGTTCGCGTCGTATTTTTTTTTCAATTTATAATCGAATTTTCATGAATTTTTACTTTTAATTGTAAGTTTAATTTTTATCTCTTAACATTGTGCGTATTTTATTTACTTTAAAACCATATGTATAGCAGCATTGTTTTGTATTAAATTAGTTTTGTGGTTTATGAATCTCATCAACTACGAAATTGTAGGCGTTTTCAACGTACTGTCTAGTTTTAAGTGCTTTTAGTGATCAGCTTTAATTCCGTGAAAGTAGAATTACTAACCGTACAAACATAAGTGTGAAGTTGCGCACCTTTTTAGGTATTGTCGCGATTATTAGAAATTTTATTAGCTCTTAGACTATTAAGATCTAAGAGTCGCCTACACATCGCTTTTAATTTCTGACTACTTAAACATTTATTCTTTGAATTAAAACAATGCGATACACGTCCATCACATTATTAATAATACCCAGTTATTCATGTAATTTTAAAACTCTAATAAACTTTCCGTTACGAGACCACCGCAAATATATCCGTCCCATTAACGTTCATATAAATTTTGGTGTTTTGTACTGCGTTTTGTGGTTTGGGATAATGTCTGTTATTTCATGCGGATTCGTGAATCTATCGCCGAAATGCTAAAATGTTTTATCTCTCATCACGAGGTTAATCCACACAATTACGGAAATTTTTTGTGTTCACGACAATTATAAATTTAGAAATATATTTATTTTGGAACGGTTTAAAACAAATGCAATGCAAACGGTTGAATTGTTTGAATATGAATTTTGAGAGCTGATACCGGTTCAAGTCTTGCTCAAGTCTAAGAATATTTAAAAACTGTAATATTTTTTACATGGCACTATATAAACAAAAAATCGATTATATAATTTTACCGACACGGTAACTCAATTGGTTAGAGCGACAGCACAGCGGACTGTGGATGCCGCTTCAAGCCCTGGATATGTCGTAAATTACTTTAACCGTTTCAATTAATAGAAAACTATTCATAAAAATTACATATATTTTTAATTTAGGAATAATGTCGTCACACCTGTAGGGCACTGGGCCAAGTACAGCTGGTGTCTCCCAGGACCTCTACTGCCACGGGCTGGTACTCAGCCAATTCTGGTGAACAGGAGGTTTGCGAAGCGGCAGCACCGTACTGCGCCACTTGAATACTGATGGTGGTGCCTCGAGGACAGATAAGCGTCACCATGTCTTCGTCGCAGGCTGCCTTCTGATGCGTCCTCAGTGTGTCTAGGAGAAGCTCTGAAAAAGACGTTAATCTCGCATAAAACGTACATAACAATACTGATATTTAAATAAAAGCCGTGGTCACGGGCAGACGGCTCCTGCAAAGCATCCGAAACGTCGGGCCATTGTTAAATTAAACTAAAAAATGTTAGCCCAATATTTCTATTTAATAAAAGTCTAATCATATTATACATGTCAAAGAATCCAAAAGGATACAACTTCAACATTTGTAGGTTTTCAAAGTTGAAATTTTAACTTGTTTAAACTTACACAGATGTTGAAACATCCCAGATATGTTTTGATAATCTGGTTTCAATAGCAGAAAGGAATCCTTGTTATTATTGTAAACCAATATTTTGACATAAAAATGTGAACGTAAATTTTACAGTACAATAATTAAATTCGAGAGCTCTGCTGTGTGGTATATTTGCCAATTAAAATATAACCCACAATAACTTAGTTTGCAGAGTGCATTCAGTAGTTCAAATGCTAATGAACGGGGCGTTTGTTTAGTTGTTTAATAGAGTCGTATACACATCAACATAGTTATTAATTTGAAGTTATTTTTTGCGTTGTATGTATAACTATACTAATATATAAAGCTGAAGAGTTTGTTTAGGTGTTTAAACGCACTAATCTCAGGAACTATGCTTACTTCTGTGTTGGTTTGAGCATTTGTCTGGGAAGGTTTTGGGCTATAAGACGTTATGCTGTGACTAATAAGAGTGAAGAAACGGTAGGAAATGTGGAAAAAATGGGGAATCAAATGTTCATAAATATAAGTATACCCAAAACTATGCGTTAAAGAATTATTTTTCTTTAAAGCAATCTAAAAAAAATGTCCCGGGCAGTAGTAAACCGTTAGAAGTGTTTTGCCTTAAATTTATTAATCTAACTTCCACCTTACCTATATTTCATCTTAGATGAGTAATTTAATGTTTTAAAAACAATATGTGTGCTTGTCCGAAGCCATAATAAAAATGTTAAGGGCCTGTTACTCACCTTCTAGCAACTGAAAGCCGAAGCTTGTTTATCATTAAAATTGTACCTATTTATAACATATTTGCTCGTAAAGTGGTTGTAATTACACCAATTTCAATATCGTAATGTATCTCATTACGTACTTGTGCGATAATGTAATGTAAAAGGCACGTTTTTTTTTACTAAGTTTTATGATACTCCGTCTAAAAATGAACGATACTTTTAAAAATCTTAGCAAAGAGGTTTTATGTCAAGAAAGTGGTCAACATTTTATGAACAAAATTAACTTTGGGAAATAAAATATAACAAATAAACATTTAATTATTTAATTTAATTAATTTTGCCAATAAATTAAACCATTTAACTATAAACAAAATATGAATTTACTTTATTAGTAATACTGGCTGTTTTTGTACCTTTGCCTAAAAAAAACGTTGTTGCGCGCGATCGCTTTAACAATTTTATTTAATTAACTAAGTTTAAGTTCGAGTTCTATTAATTTCCTCGTAAATATGTTATAGAACGTCGTATGACATACGTGCGCTTTGAAATTTACAGCCTCTGCTTTCTAATAGTGTTTTATTATAGTAGTGCTTTATTATAGTAATAATATCGCCTCGGCTGTAATTTTCAACTTACCGCACTTATATCATAATGTACTATTCTGGATTCGATAGTAATTTAAATTAACACATGATAAAGTGAAGTGACATGCCTACCTAGTTTGCTCTTTTGCACTCGGATGAAACCGCTTGACTGATATGCCTCAATATTCCAACTGGGATTGTTGGTCATAATTTACTTAGTCTATAGTTAAGTCTGTTTACGTAAGTAGTATACATTTAAATAAGACACTTTGAACTGGTTAAAAAGCGAAATGTATTAACTTACTTTAAATTTATTTTAACTACGACCCAACTTTTCTGACGCTTTGGAGCAGCCGTGGTTTTATAAATATGTTGCAAATAATATAAATTGTAAATAAGTTTGATACATTTCGCGTTTCAAAGCGTTAAAAGAGTTTTATATACTCGTGTTAACTACAGACGGATTTTAGATATTGTTGAACTTGATATTACGAATTACTATAGACCATAAAATACTTGGGATTATAAATATATGAATGACCTATTAGTTACTAACAAAAAAAGCAAAAAATCTTTTAAATTAAAAACTTTAACGGTTTAAAACGCGAATCAATTAGCTAAAACGTTGTAAACCGTAAAAGTGTTTTAATCAAACGTTAATCAAAATCTATTTTCATTTTGCAGGTACTCAAATATGATGTAATTATTTATAACCCCTGTGTATAGATTACAGTGACTAATTGCGTAATTTGTTCTAGATCCTAAAACAATCGACGCACGAGTCAAATCACAATTCCTTACTAGTTGAGTTCAAGCTGCGAACAGCAAACGCTGCCCTGTCCTACGATTTGTAGAACTTTATCTAACGTTCTAGTTCGATTGAGTTCTATCTGAGCAAACAGCTACATCCATGCCATTAATGCAAATTAATTGTCATGCCCTAATCGTGCGAGCGCGTCTACAAACACGTACGGTAATGTTGGTCTGGAAGCGTAGATAGCGAGCTTTTTTTGCTATCTATACTTATCGTGTCTACAGTTAGGATCTTGGTTTTGTCGTGTTATCTGGAATGAAATCTGGCTGTTTTAATACTATCTTGAGTCTGTAGAATTTGTACATCGTGCGAAAATAATACATTAAGACTAGACGAGAGTAGTACAAATAAAAAAAAAACACTTTCAACGTCAAATGCAGCAGCCGTAAACATGGGGGAACGTTGCTGAAAATCTTCCGTCGGGTCGTAGTTAAAATTAATTATAAATATATTACCTTATTATTTACACTTTGCGTTTTAAACGGTATACTGCGTTTTATTTAAAGAATAGGTTATTTGATGTCCCGAGTTGTCAATTAGTTTTTATTATCTTATGTTTGAGTAGACTTCACGGCTTTGACGGTCTCATTGGGATCATTATAATGCATTGCTAATAATCAAGAGGTCGTAGGTTCGATCGCCGGGTTAACACTAAAAAGTTTTTAATAATTTATATGTTTCAAACATGTTGATCTCCTCAAAATTTGAAGTGGTTCCAATCTGTAGATCTTCGAATAACTTTTTCAATTTTCAAAAGAGATTGTGGCCATATAAATTAAGTTTTTAACCTTACAATAGAACTTAAATACTTTACGTAACGATTAGTTATCACAGCCATCGTATTTACTATAATCAACTAACGACATCTATACTAATATATAAAGTTGAAGAGTTTGTTTGTTTGAATGTGCTAATTTCAGAAACTACTGGTTTGAATTGAAAAATTCTTTTTGTAATGATTAGAGCATTTATCAAGGAAGGCTGTAGGCTATACGCGCTGTGCGCTGTGATTAATGAGATTGAAGAAACAGCAGGAAATATGGAAAAAACGAAAATTGCATCTTTGTGGGTTTCCGATGCGTATACTGCGAACATAGTCAAAGGTACCTAAAACATGTGTATAATAAAATGATTCCTCTTGAAATTATCTAAAAATATGTTTGCGACAGTATATCTTTTAAGATAATTTGCAAAAAAAGACGGGACGCAGACGACGTTCTGAGTAGCAGTTTTAAGTTATTTAGATGAGGAGAAATGTTGATTCCCAAAAGAACTATTCTATAAGCGGACGAAATCGCAGGCACAGCTAGTATTAAAATAATGTTATCTATTCTGTAACAAAAATCAATCTTCTTTCACTCCGACATATCCGATATTCACTAATTTCCTTATGTGAAGACGTCCCATGATATTTACGCTTATTAGCACGAACGGGATATCGACAATAATAAAAATACGGAAGCCATAAACGTAATCATTTATCAAAAAGAGAAACAAAATTCCGATGAGATTTACGATTGATCAATTTAGATTTACGAGCTCGGAGACTTCCTTATAGCCTCTGAATGATTATATCTATTCACATTTCGCGATATTGACAAATCGCTTGACGTCGCCATTTTTAAATTCGTATAATACCAGGTCGTTGGGCTCTGAGGAGTTACAGAAAAAGTTTTTGATAAAGCACACCAACTTTTATATGTATGTATATTTTCTAGAGCTTTGTGGTTGTCAATATACTTATGTCTTAAATAAATAAAACACGATATATATTAGTTCAATTTATTTGAAAATTATTTTTAACTTCGGCCCGACGTTTCGGATGCTTTGCAGCAGCCATGGTCACGGGGAGACACGGGGGGACTAAAAAAGCATCAGAAGAAACGTCGGGCCGAAGTTTTTTTTCTTTTTGTTTTTTTTTTTTTTTCCCCCCCTAAATTTTTCTTTTTTTTTTTTTTTTTTTTTTTTTTTTTTTTTTTTTCCTCCTTTTTTTTTTTCTTTTTTTTTTTTTTTTTTTTTTTTTTTTTTTTTTTTTTTTTTTTTTTTTTTTTTTTTTTTTTTGTTTTTTTTTTTTCCTTTTTTTTTTTTTTTTTTTTTTTTTTTTTTTTTTTTTTTTTTTTTTTTTTTTTTTTTTTTTTTTTTTGTCCGAATTCAAGCCAACGGATCTTGGGTTTGATCTCCAGCGTGTCCAACATTTTTCTAAATAATTTATAATTTTTCTGAATCATATGTACTTCATCTGGAAAACCTAGATATTAAATGGGGGGGTTGGAATGTCGAAAATCCGTCTGGGTCACAAATTCTGAACATTCAAATCAAAAATAGGCCGACAGCGCATCTTGTTTCGATGTTATTTGGCTGGGGTATTTTACCTAGTATCAACCTTATGTTTGCCTAGTCTCTAACGTAAAAAGTTCTTTTTTTAGTAACTTTCAGTGTTCCATTCCACTGGACTATTTATAATAAAACTCATTATTCCAAAAAGCATTTCCAAGCAATCACAAATTGAACTTTGAACTTTTCCGATTTTCGACAGTTTGAGTGGCGTTGTTTTGGTGGTCGCTATTTGAGGACTGGATTTTATACAGCCTTATTCAGGTCTCATTTAGAATTCATAAGGCTTATCGCCCACT